TTACGATTAGAGTTTACCTAAATAGGATTAAAACATAATGACTTTCTCAATACAGGACAATTTGTTTTTATTTCCTCATGTAGGACCATTAGTCATTATCCATAAGTCATTATTCAAATAAATATTCACCATCACTGGACATTAATCCCCCTACTAGACAATATTAAGTCTTATTTAGAAAATAAAAAAGAAATTTTTGTAGTAAATAACATTAAAATTTAAATCATTTTCCTAAATAGCACTTAAACTGATGGATAAAACTCATTGATTCCACTCAGCAAGTTCGCAACCGCCCGGGTGGCCCTAAGTTTGATGCCTCAATGCATGGTCAAGACCTGGTCAGCCCGGGTAGTCGGACCAGACGGATATGGAAGGGATCAAAAGTGAGAGCATGACTTTATCCGACGAAGCCATGCAGACTTATCGGTTGAAGACTAACCGGCCTAAAGAACAGTAACGTTGAGGCGTGCTTGACGTGTTTGTTTATTCTTATAAATAGGAGTAAAAGCCTCATTAGAAAGGCATGTTTTATTGAATCCACACGACTTGTAAGTTTGTAAACAGTCCTATTATCATTAATAACAAATCGGGTTACAAGTGTTTCCACCTACAAGTCTTTCGTTTATTCGTACTTAATATTTGCGTGTTTAACATCATCATAAACTGTTTTATTCCTTAAATACTACTCCCTCTGTCCACCATAGATCTTCCCAGACACTATTCACAGGGTCAAACTTTACTCACTTTGTTTGCTCATTTTTATTAGTCATTTCGTAAAATAATATAGTCTTGTCACCTCTAGTTTTGTAGAACTTTTCATGTAGTTTATTACTATATAAATTTTATTTCAAAATTTTACGTACTCCTATAATCAATTAAATTGAATTGAAAATAAAGTCGGTCAAGCCTCGTAACGCGTAACGGGAAGAACTTAGGTGGACGGAGGGAGTACTTAATAGTGTCCATAATATCCAGTGATAGAGAACATTTACTTGAATAATAACTAATGGATAATGATTCAGAGTGCTACATTGGGAAAAAAATACATGTGATGCTATTTAAAAAAAGTCATTATGTTTTAGTGCTATTTACGCAAATTTCCCTAAAAAAGTTTAAGTTCGATCTACATTGGAAAATGACTTATATTTTAGTTTTATTTAGTGTAAATTTTTCTTAAATTATTGGATTTAGTACTGATGTATTATACTTTATTTTCGAGTTTATATTGATCCACTCTCTCATTAACGACAATTGGTTTTTTAGATAAAAACTTTTCAATTCTAGACAAATTGCAATCATATAATTTTGGTTCTCAATACTTTTCTTAAATTTTGTAAATTGAGTAAACATTAAATTCAGACGTAGAAATGTAATAAAAAATGAAAAATTAACTATTTACCCATATACTAGAGTACTACTCCCTCTCTTCCGCAAAAAAAGTTCACTTTTCTTTTTTTCATTCGTCCCAAAAAATACTTCTCTTTTCCTTTTAAAAAGTCTTTTCTACTCATACTAATTCTTAACCAACCTATCACATCCCACTTTTTCTCTATTAACCTATCCATCTCGTCCTACTTTATCCATGACATCAAAGGGTATTTTTGGAAAGTCAACAACAAAATACACTTCCCTTAAATCCTCAAAAAGTCAAAACGAGAACTTTTTTAAGGGACGAGGGAGTAGTATTTAGTCTCTTTTTCCTAGTTTGTAAAATTTATACTTTATATTACATTTGGTATATTATGCTTTATTTTGTATGGTCTTGTTTGAGAAGATCGTTTTCAATTAGCGTTGGTGTTTTTAAAATAAATTTTTAAGGGTGTAAAAAATACTAAAGAGAATTGTCCGTAACCAAACTACAGTGGATTATGCTATGTGTACCCCAAGGTTTGTACCCCAATTTGTACCCCACAGTTTTGCACCAACACTTTGTGTTGGTGTAAAACTAATTTTTGTTAAACGCACCAACATTTGTGTCCGTGTGAATTTTTATTAACGCACCAACACTTGTGTCGGTGTAAATCATCGAAATGTTTATGCAAACCTGTGGTGTATAAATGGGGTATATTTTTTGGTGTAAGTGTAGCATGGTCCAACTACAGTACCAAGTGCTATGGCACTTGTCTCAATGGATTGAAGATTTTAATTTCTAATGATGATAATCAACATATGCACTGTACCACAAAGATTGTTTCCAAAGAAGTGTTTCAAATTTTGTTTTTTTCTTCTTCTTCTTCCTTTTGTTTTTAAAAAAAAATCTCTGAAAATGGAGTTCATCATATTGTTCCGTTCTCTCAGCAAGGAGCATGTTTTTTTAGACAGAAACTTTTCTATTCTTGTCCAGTTTTGAATCATATAATTTAGGGTTCTCGGTACTTTTCTTGTAAAGTCAAACTATAATCATCATTATATTTGATATACTACCTCCGTCCCAAAAAGATTTACATGTTTTGACTAAAGTTGAAATTAAGGAAGGAATAATTTTGTGTTGACTTTCCAAAAATACCCTTGATGTGATGGGTAAACGTAGGATGTGATGTGTAGATTATTAGGAAAAAGGTATGATGTGATATGTAGGGTTTGAAAAAGTAAAGGGTAAATGTGGTTTTTTAATTGAAATGGGTAGGAGATTGTGGGACACAATTTTTTTTAAAGCTGTAAATCTTTTTGGGACGGAGGGAGTATTGATAGAATTTAGGATGAGTATGGACAACTGGATTGAGTAATAAGACACTTGGGTTGAACCACATTAAAAGATTGAATCCAATCAATTAGTTAGTTTAACTCAAGAGCTTATATACCGATTATTTTGCTCTTGGACTTCCGATGTGGGATGCACTCTAACACTCCCCCTCAAGTGGACAACCGGGCCATTTTGAATCTAATCTGTTGACCACTTGCAAATGAACTCTCATTCCCTTAATTTTTTTAGCGCCAACACCTAAAGGACCACGAGTCGCTGGGTATGGACAACTGGGCTAAAGACAAACGGGCCGCTAGGAATGAATGTCTAGACGGACACCTTGACAAACGAGGTGGGCCAAAACCTGCTCCGATACCATGATAATTTTCTTATGGAAGAATATTTCTTTCTTATTCTCCAAAGGATACGCAAGGTACAATATATAGTCAAAGTACATACAAGGAAACCTACATACAAGGAAACCTATTTACTCTAAACCTCTAATTTACATAAAATAGGTAGCAAAAAGGAATAAATGGAAACCCCAAAAACTCTCCTTGATTGAGTCGTCACTCCGTACAACGATCTCGCACATAGAGATGGCACAAGATTTATGGGACGAAGGCCCAGTTCTCCGTTGTCAATGGCCCACGCATTCAAAAAATCAAACGGGAATTGACAACGTGTGACCAACGTGGCCTTACTATCGCCTCGTATTATGGTCGGTTGAAGAAACTTTGGGATGACTTGAATGACGTTGACCCTTACCCCACCTGCACGTGCGGTAAATGCGAGTGTAACCTCGCTTAACAATTGGAGAAGAAGAAAGACGAAGAGAGAGTACATCAATTTTTGATGGGTCTCGATGAAGCCTTGTACGAACATCTTCGTTCTACCATTCTTTCTCAAGAACCGTTTCCGACGACCGCTCAGGTGTATCGTGTGATGACACAAGAGGAAACGGCGAGGGCAGCCCACCCACATGAGCGCCCTGAAAACGCAGCCTTTGCCGCTCATCTTGTTGCCACGGATAAGCCACGCGACCAAAAACATACAGTGACATGTTCACATTGCAAAAAATTAGGACATGATAAAGATTCTTGTTACCAACTCCACGGCTATCCGGAGGGTTGGGATGTGGCAGTGGCAAATGCGGAAGCAATAACTAAAACGCAGAAATAAAAGCGTAAATAAAATGCACACCAATTTTATACTGGTTCGGGAAACCCCCACTCCAGTACCTCGAGGCTCCTCCTCAAGGATTTCCGAATCCACTAAGTCTCGGCCTCTTGAACTCCGTCAAAGCACCGCACTAGTTTTGGCAAACAATCCTTGCCAATAGGATTCACTCCGAGATTTCACAACGGCTATCTCGAACCGTTTACAATGAAGATTTAACGGCTATCTTCTACCGTTCCCCCAAGGATTTCAAAGGCTATCCTTGAACCTTTACCCAAGGATTTATACGGCTATCCTTGACCGATACAATATGAGAATTTAACGGCTATTCTTGACCGTATAAAGATGTGTTTGAAAAACACAAACAAGAGTTCTACACAACGGCTTGAATATAAAAATGAAGAACAAAACTTAGCCGGTGTAGAAGGAAAGTATACTCTCTCAAAAATACAATTCAAACTTATGAATATGAGAGTATATAACTAGAAACACAAGCTCAAAGTGTGTGTATAAAAATCAGGAATTTAAGGCTTTTAAAATAGCCAAAATATTGAAAATAATTAAAAGGATGAACACACTTAGAATAAAAAGAGAGGATGTTTAGAGCTTTGTTTCTCTTGAAGAAATATGAAGGATTAGGCTTGTATTTATAGTGGAAGATGTTAATTAGCCGTTGGGAGGTGATTAGGGGTGATTAGAATTTAAATTGGCAATTTGCTACAGTGATTACAACGGATCCGGTACCCTTCACGGTAGGGACTGTACTGTCCGGTACCTAGGTACCGTGACCACGGTATAGCCTACCGTTTGGGGGTACCGTGTCTTCCAAAAGTTCGGTTCGCCTCTGGCGGTACCTGGTTAGGACGGGTTCGGCCAATCGTCTACGCCTACCGTCGGTACCTAGGTACCGTTACACGGTATGGGGGTACCGTGTAGGCGGTATACCCTACCGTGTGGCGTACCGCTAGGGGTACCGTGACTCTGTTCTAATTTTTCCAAAATTCCCTTAATCCTTCGTGTTTGAGTTTAAAACCTTTTAGATATTTGAAAATGTTTATGTGATGGTTTTAAACATATTTTGTGAGTGCTTTTGAGCTTGTGAATATAGGTATATAGAGTCATATCCTTACATTGGTTTCTACCTATATTCTACGCTAGTTTAGTGTTTCGACTTCATTCTTGAGTACCGAATCTTAATGGATTCTTGTTTTCCTGAAACACTTAAACAAACGTTAAGCTCTTATATTGTTTGTTAACATCAAAACATGAGGTTTAGCAAACCAAGGCTAACAGGCGGCAGTATGCATGGAGAATCACTTGAAAGTGTGGTGCCTTCTTTGATAGCCGAACAATGAAAAACATTTAAAGGACTTTTAGCCTTTGTTAAAGATGCTTCGTTCGAGAAATTGTCAGGTATTCCTTGTACTAAAAGATGGATTATTGATACCGGTGCAACGAATCATATGACAGGGGATTTACAATGTTTAATTGACATGCTTTCCATACCGAACTCTTGGATTCGCTTGCCGGATGGAAAAACGGTAACGGCCACGACTGCGGGTCGTGTTCGGCTAAATGACTGTGTTGTTCTAAACAATGTCTTGTTTGTTCCTGATTTGAGTTGTGATTTTCTATCAGTGTCTCATTTGATTAAAGAGACTAACTGTCTGGTGAACTTCGATGGCTCTTTATGTGTGTTACAGGACCGTATCACGATGCGGGTGATTAGTGCGGGTAGGCAATTTGACGGTCTCTATTACTTTCAGCAAGCGTCAATGGGTCATGCCTTGTCAATTGTGAAAGAATGTCCGTTCGATTTGTGGCATCGACATCTGGGGCATCCGTCACCAAAAGTTCTATCTTTTTTACCGGTTGCTAGTTCTAGTAAATCTAGTGTTTTAAATAATGGACCGTGTGCTATTTGTTTGCGTGCAAAACAATGCCGTGCTCCTTTTCCTTCTAGTACTAATAAAGCTACAGATTTATTCCAAGTTATTCATATTGATGTGTGGGGTCCATATCGGACGCCAAGTTTGGATGGTTTTACATCTTTCTTGACAATCGTTGATGATTATTCCCGTGGTACTTGGGTTTATTTATTGCATGCAAAATCGGAGGTGCCATTGATTTTCCGTCAATTTTGTGCTCTTATTGATCGTCAAAGTAATAAAAAGTTACAAATTGTACGAAGTGATAATGGAACTGAGTTTGAATGTTTTAATCCATTCTTTCGTGAACATGGTATTTTGCATGAGACATCGTGTCGTGGCACACCCCAACAAAATGGTAGGGTTGAGCGCAAGCATCGACACATTCTTAACGTTGCTCGCGCCCTCCGTTTTCAAGCTTCACTTCCCATTGAGTTTTTGGGCGAGTGCATCCTTACAGTTGCCTACGTCATAAATCGGACGCCCTCCACCGTGTTACACGGTAAGACACCGTATGAATTGATTTTTGGCTCTCCACCGTCTTTGGCACATCTTCGGACTTTTGGTTGCTTATGTTATGTTCATAACCAAGATCGTCACGGTGATAAGTTCGAGTCGCGTAGTTTGAAAGGCATATTTCTCGGTTATCCCCACAGAAAGAAGGGTTGGCATGTGTATTGTCGGGATACTAGCAAATTTATTATCTCTCGTGATGTGATTTTTCATGAGAATGTCTTCCCTTTTCAGGATCCACTTTCCTCCATTGCTTCTCCGTCTATTCCATCATGTGCCTCACCCATGCCTTATCTCGATGATGACGAGGTTCTTGGGCGTCAATTATTACCAGCCAGGGGGTGTTCTTCAAGCTGCTGCTCGTGATTCCAGACACCCAGTCGGCCAGCTACTGTCCGTGCCTCAAGCTGGTGACCGTGACTCAAACCAGCCGACGCCCAGTCCCACCGATCCCCTCTCGGCAGTTTCTCCAGACAACCAGCCTGTACCCTCCACTGTGGCACTGACTTCTTCCAGCCCCAATGATCCCATCCCAGTCGTCCCTTTGGAAGCACAGCCGGCTTCATCCAGTCTGGCAGCGCCTACTGCCTTGGGACGCAGACAACGGCATCGCACTCCTAATGTCTGGCTGGCCGATTATCAAACATATACCGTCAAACATGATGTCGTTTCTACTTGTAAGTATCCTCTGACACATTACATTGGATATGCTCGATTTTCCCCTTATCACAGGGACTTCCTATCCGCAGTGGATTCTGGATATGAACCGCAGCTTTACAAAGATGCTGTGCGATTTCCTCATTGGCGGCAAGCAATGTCGGATGAGCTCTCTGCGTTAGAAAAGAACGAGACATGGACGCTTGTTCCATTACCACGACACAAGAAGGTGTTGGGTTGCAAGTGGGTCTATCGCATCAAGCGCAAATCTGATGGTACAATCGAGCGTTACAAAGCTCGCCTCGTTATATTGGGCAACCATCAAGTCGAAGGCATTGACTATCACGAAACATTTGCTCCCGTGGTTAAGCTCACTACTGTTCGTGTTCTTCTTGCCGTTGCTGCTATAAGAAATTGGGAACTTCATCAAATGGATGTTCATAATGCCTTCCTTCATGGTGACTTGATAGATGAAGTATATATGCACACCACCGCCAGGATATCGTTCTCAAACGCCAAACTTAGTCTACAAACTTCAAAAGTCCCTCTACGGTTTGAGACAAGCACCAAGGTGCTGGTTCGCCAAACTCTCTGGTGCATTATGGAGGTATGGCTTTGTTCAGTCTCTCTCTGATTACTCATTGTTCTCTTTTCACAAGGGGGCCTCTGTGGTCCATATTCTGGTCTATGTCGACGACCTGGTGATAGCGGGGAATAATTCACTTGAGATTAGCCGTTTCAAGAAGTATCTTTCTGATTGTTTTCACATGAAAGATTTGGGTGTTTTAAAATATTTTCTTGGGGTTGAGGTCGCACAAAACTCTACAGGTATAATTTTGTGTCAACGAAAATATGCTCTTGATATCATATCCGAGATAGGCCTACTTGGGTCTTGTGCACTTGGGGCTCCGTTAGAGCCTAATCACAAACTTGGTTTGGCCTCTGGACCTCCTCTTGATAATCCCGGTGCCTATCGACGACTGGTAGGATGCCTCGTATATTTGTCTGTTACTCGTCCTGATCTTTCTTATGCAGTCCACACTTTGGCACAGTTTCTTCAGGAACCAAAGCTTGACCACTGGAATGCGGCTCTAGGAGTGGTACGCTATCTTAAAGGCGCTCCTGGTCATGGTATTCTTCTTCACTCTGATAGTTCTCTACATTTGACTGGATGGTGTGATTCTAATTGGGCAGCTTGTCCTTTGACTCGTCGCTCTTGAACTGGATGGTTTGTCCAACTGGGTGTCTCTCCCATCTCCTGGAAAACCAAGAAACAGCCTATCGTAGCTCGGTCCTCCGCCGAAGCCGAATATCCTTCTCTCGCTGTTGTCACATGTGAACTTAAGTGGCTTCGTGGTCTACTCCATTTTCTTGACGTGCCTCATCCAACACCGATGCAGATTTATTGTGATAGCACTGCGGCTCTTCACATCCCCACCAATCCCGTCTTCCATGAGCGCACTAAACACATTGAAATTGACTGTCATTTTGTTCGCGATGAGTTATTACGGGGATCCATCCGCACCTCTCATGTTTCTACCCATAATCAGTGTGCGGATATTCTCACCAAAGCCCTTGGAAAGGGACGGTTCGATGCATTCCTTCCCAAGTTGGGCATTTGTCTCTTACATGCTTCAACTTGAGGGGGGGTGTTAAAGATATTTATGATATTATAATTGGACACATGTGATTTATTTGGAGGCATACCCGTACACATGCATGGCGTTAATCAAGGAGAGTTTTTGGGGTTTCCATTTATTCCTTTTTGCTACCTATTTTATGTAAATTAGAGGTTTAGAGTATATAGGTTTCCTTGTATGTACTTTGACTATATATTGTACCTTGCGTATCCTTTGGAAAATAAGAAAGAAATATTCTTCCATAAGAAAATTATCAAGTATTATTCTTTATTTTGTAAGATTGTCTTTTGGCCAAGTAAATATCTCGTGGACACATGTTACTAATAAGTCTGATATACACCTTCCTCCCTCCTTCCCAAAACATATACCCTCCTCTCCCCTCATCCCAAAATAAAATTTCCAATATGATTTTCACGTATATTAAGAGAAAATATAAATATTTGGCCGACACTTATGTAGTGGAAAGATTTATGTAGACCACTCAAACCATTTCGTGAAAAGAATGGAAAATTTATTTTGGGACAAAAAAAGTAAGAAATTTATTTTGAGACAGAAGAGAATAAAGCAAGTACTCATGTTGTTTACGATATGTGACTAGAGTTATATTCAAATGAGTTTATTTACAAATTGAGGTAGCATTAAAAGATGAAAATTTATATATTTAAAATTTATATAAGATATCTACACATTTTTGAGGTGTATGCCTCAATACTTGAACTCTCTTTGTACTTCGGATCGCCTTGCGTCCTTAACTAACAACTTTGACAAAATATTAATCCATATTAGTTGTTTTTTTCTTTGTCCTCTCCCTAAAATGGGTGCATACTGAAATTTAACTACACATAGCTAACATTTTGTAGTAGTGGGGACACCATAACATGAGCTCACATTTATGCCTTTATCCATAAGTCAAAACTCTAAGGCTTTGTTTGGTAAGAGCGTTTTCGATTAGCGTTAGCGTTTTGGATAAAATTTCAATGGTACAGATTAATTTTGAAAACGATAATGCTAAAGGCTACCGTCGGATAGCTTTTTCAAAACGCTAACGCTAATCTCTGACGCTGATGCCAAACGGGGCCTAAATCAATAAATCATCAAATATTACGAGCATAAAACAATAGCACAGTATCTCTAACCTCATTTATAAAATAAAAAAAGAAAAAAAGCAAATGATACTAGAAAAAAATTGGAAACATGATGGCTATAAACCACCGAGTATATCAGATAATATGAGTTTTAGAGAGAGAGAGAATGCAAAGTAGGAGAATATTGACTTCAAAATTTGGATCCATTACAATGAGGGGTGCCACCCCTTTTATAGGGGGTACAATACATTAAGTCAAAGCCCTCTGATCGAGGCTCATCGTTTAGCGGACGTCACCTGACCCTTGGTCTTGTCCCTATCATCCTATTGCTTTCAGCAAGTCTTTGTCGCACGTCGTTTTCTTCACGTCATTGTCGCGGGGGTCGGGCTCGGCTTGGTTGGCCGTAAGCCTATAAAGGGATAGCCGAAAATCCGATTACCGTCCGTATCCGTATCCGTTTAAAAAGAAAAAATCCGCATCCGTTTTAAACGGATATTATCCGCATCCGATCCGTGATAACCGATTACTAAACGGATGCGGATTTTGTATTTATGAATCCGATCCGTTTAAAATCCGATCCGCATAGACATCCGTTTCAATAACCGTTACCGTTTATCCGAATAACCGTTTATCCTAATACTTAATTAAAATAAATGTAATAAATATAATCTTGTTATGTATTTATCCCAATTGCCAATCCAATAAAGTTGGGCTATTAGCCCAATAGGAGTATATCACAAATCTAACCCTACCGCAACCATTCAACAAACCCGTAGAAGGAAAAGAAATCCCTGAATCCTGCAGCCCGCCCCTCCCTCTCCCAGTAATCGGCCAATTTGCAAAGCAGCTTCCTCGTCTGTTCTTGACCAGCCATACGACGGACCGCCATCTCCTCAGCTCTTCCTTCGACGAGCGACGGCCTCTACGTCGAAGTTTTGTCTCAGGTATGCCTCCGAGCTGCTGTGATTAGCTTTAGCGATTTATATATGACAAACCCTCGAGCCGTTTGATTGTAGCCCGATCGGAACACGGCAATAAACTTCATAATTGATTGTCTCTGTCGCCAGAAGCTGTATTGATAAACTTTTTGTTTTTTGATAAACTTTTTGTTTTTTTAGTATATTTGTTTGATACTAAATTGGAACACGGCGATAAACTTTGTAATTGAGAGGTTGCTGTATTGATAAACTTTTGGTTTTTTGAATTCATTATTGCTGGATAGTATTTGAAAACACCAATAAAAATCTCATTTCCTCGATTATGGGTTAATGAACTAATTTTGTGTACAGGTTGAAGATTGAGGATGTTTTTGCTAATGGGTTTCTTCACCAACATCTAGGAACTGCAAAAATAAGTTGACATACTGAATAACTTATTTTCCTAGTTTTTTTTAGAATTTTTTTCTTTTTGGGTTATATGTTGTAAGAACATTGCATTTAAATTTGTTGTTGGCTTGTTGATGGAGTGTTGGACAATTGACAATTAAAATGTTTGATGCTATGTTTAATTTCTTTTTTGAACTGGTTTGCTATTTAATTTTATTTATGATTCGGATAATCGGATGCGGATATTGGATTTTTGGATTTGTTAATAGTGTAAATGGATAATCGGATATTCGGATTTTAGGAAATTTGGATACTTAAACGGATGTTCGGTCGGATACGGATATATCCGAATCCAAAAAAAATCCGACGGATTCGGATTTGGATTTGAAAGTTAAAACATCTGTCGGATTTGGATGCAGATTCGGATGATGTTTCGGCTAAACGGATGCGGATACGGATGTTGTATATCCGAGGCGGATTTTATCCGTTTACAGCTCTAGTTGGCCGAGCCGAGCAGGAGGGACGAGCGGAGCTCGTGGGCCAAGCAGGAGAGACGTCCAAGTCCGATACTTAGGAAATTTATGCTGATGTCAGCCTTAGGCTGACATGGGGTTATTCCCAATCAGAAGCCCCCCACTCTCTGGGTTTCGTGGCAACTAGCAGCGGAGCGCGTGAGAGTAGACAACATTGTGCATGGTCAGCTCACGGGCCCACGCGTAGCTTGGTGGACGGGTGGTGACTTTTGCAGTTCCCATCGAGCGGTTGTGACGCTTCGCTTCCCAAAGTGGCGGCCCATCATGACACCTCTTTGGCCCATCATCACTTAGGCCCAACTTTAGTATAAATAGTCCCCAAGGCTTCCTTCATTCTCACACTCTAGAGAGAGAAAATATTAGGGTTTGCCATTCTCCGCCGTTCCGCGCCGCCGCTCGTTGCTTCCTGATTTTCTCCGGCGACGCTTATTCGAGGTCAGTCCCTCTGCTCTACTCCTTTATGTCTGTCGAGTCTGCCTCTCTTCGCACGTCCGAAGCCGAGCATGAGCTCGGGCTCGGCAGTCATGGTTCCGTAGCCCAAGACGACCGAGCGGAGCATCCGGGTTCCCCATCTATTGAGGAGATCGCGGTTGTCGAGGTGCCCGGGGTAACTGAGCCCCGCCTCCAGAAACGCACCTTGCTTGTGGACTCGCTCATCCGCGAGTGCAAGTGCGACTTGTCGGGTGACGAGTATCTTAAATCAGTGTGCTATGCCGGCCCCCTCGTCACCATACGTCGTCCTACTCCGGAGGAGTCAGTCTTCGACGCTCCTCCGGGCTACTTCGCCGTCCATCTCAAGTCCCTTGAGAATGGCTTCCGCTTCCCCCTCGAGTCCATGTTCATCAATTTTTTCAAGTACTTTGACTTCCTCCCGTGCCAATTGGTGCCGAAATTGCACCGATACTTGGCGGGATTCTTGATCCGCTGTCGGGAGACGGGCGTGCGGGCTGACCTTGAGCGCCTATTGACCCTATTCCGAGTGGCAAAGTCCTCCGGGTCGGATGGGGGTTCTTTCGCCGCCCTCTGTCAGCGGCAAGAGAGACTCTTTAAGACCAAGAAGGAATCCAACAAGACTTGGAAGTCCAAGTTCGTTTTCGTCTCCGTGGGGTCGGCTTCCCCTTTCTGAGCCGCTCCCCTCAGTTCTTTCCGTCAGCAATCCAAACCCTTTGCCTCCTCCAAGGCCATTGCGGACACGGATAAGTTGTGCTCGGGCGGCCCCTATGAGCCCGGGGCCTTAGTGAGTAACGAGGCTCTCGCCGAGCTCGGGTTCGTCTTCCATGATCAGGATGAGCCCAAGCGTCGGGTCGTCCAGAGTCAACTCGAGGAGGGCCCCTCAGGTTTTCCTCGTTCACTTCTTTAGTGGGTTCGTGCTCCGCTTGCAATTCCTTCCGGGGACTCGAACTTATCTCTTATTTTCCTTGTAGGTGAAATCATGATTTCTGCGGCCGACCGAAAGAAGCTGTTTAAATCTAAGCCGCGCGCGGAGTCCAGCCAAGCTCAGCCTCCGCTCCCAACTCCCACACCGTCCGCCGAGTGCACCCAGCCGAACAAGAAACTCAAGGACGTGTGTTCTGCGCGGGAGGCGGCCTCGCTAAGCAGGACAAAGTCCACATCTTCGCGCTCGGTGGACTGCGGGAAAAAGGCCTTCGTGAAAGTGGCATTTCCCCCCAAGCCTTCGTTCTTGCACGGGGACTATGAGCCTCGCCGTTTCCTGCAGAGCTTCATCCCTTCACCGGACCGGATCGAGATTTGTTCGGCCGCCACGGAGGACCTCGCATCCACACTCATGCTCGAACTGGGCTCGGTAAGCGTTCTTCGTTCCAGCGCGGGTGCTTTTCTTGCCTGACACTTAGATTTTAACAAATTTCACTGAAATTTCACCGTTGTTGTAGGCGGCCATGCGCGTCCCGGAGATGGTGGAGCTTTTGGAGTGGTACGTTGCAGATAAGGTCAAGGGCGAAGAGGAGCTTCAAAGGCTGCAGGGGCACGTGGCCGACCTAGAGGGGAAGCTCGCTGAGGCGGAGGAGCGGGCTCGGGCTTCGGAGCAGGCTCGTATCGCTGCTGAGGAGAAGGCGTGTAACGCCCCAAAACATACCCTAAAATTTTTAATGAATAAATATTCAATTAGTCAAATTTGTTTCGATTAAAATAAATAGTTATTGGGCTTTGGGCCGAAATGAAATGTGTTTTGACATCCAATATCACAAATCAGGATAAGTCTCATAAAGATAAATCCAATATGTTGACTAATTGGGTAATCTTGGTTGTGAACCTGAGTACAGACCTAAATTAAGAATAAATGAAGAAATTGTTTACTTTGAAATGGTTTATTGAAATAAATCATGAGAATAAATAATATGAATTGAATATGACACCTTTTATAGTAAAGGTCAAACAAATCAATTTTGACTCTGACAAAGTCAACCACCCAAAAATATGATGTCGGAAAAAGTATTACAAATAATTATGAAAAGTATATCGTTGGATAGAGCTCGACTGTCTGATCGCAATGGTGCAAACAGATTTCAATTTGGAGAAAATTGGACCAAAAAGTGTACCCCGACTGGAACCAAAATAGGTCCCAATCAGGGAACTGTTTAGACGGAGCCTCCTTCCCCACTACGCCGATCGTAGAATTGTGGAGCCACCATAGTTGTTTTCTTCTTCTCTCCTTCTCATTATATAAGAGAACCCAACCATCTCATTTCTTCACCATTCTTCTTCATTCTTCTTTCTAAGTGTTCATGAAAGTGTGAGGAGTATTGTGGTGCTGTCAATTTGGTGTGAAGTCGCTGGAGTTGGGAGAAATACTCGCCGGAAGTTTCGCCGGAAAATTTCCAAAACCTCCATTAAGCTTCGAGGTAAGCCCGTAGATATATCTAATGACTAGAATGCTCATATAGATCGATTCTACGTTCATAGATGGTCATTTGGTTGAGTTTTGTGTTTGACATGCTTGAAGAACTAAGAATCGTAAACCATGATTTTGATGTTAAAACTATGAATTAATGATGCCAAAATGATCTATGAACCTTGGAGAACACTTTTATATACTTTAATTGAAGTTTGGTGAGTAAAAGTGACATTTCCGCAAGTTGGCTCAGGGTAGAAGACGATGGATAATCGATTATCAACTTGAAAATCGATTATTCATCATTCTGCAGATTTTTGGAACAAAGCTGAGCAACAATCGATTGTCAGAATATGATAATCGACTGTCAGCCCTCTCTGAAGTTTGATAATCGATTATCAGAGTGTGATAATCGATTATCAGCCCATTCTGAACATCTGACAGTAGATTATCAGAAGTGACAGTAGACTGTCTCCCTACACTATTGAAGAAAATGAAGCTAATAGCTAATAATTGAATTTCCTATCATATATTAATCAATTATTATTTAGAAAACATGATTTTTGAACTATGGAATCTTATTTTTGATACCAATAAATTATGATTAATATAAAGATGATCTCTTGAAATAAAAATGATGTTTTGACAACTAAGAGGACTTTACGTGATGTATGACGGTAAGCTAGGGTGTTACACTCGACGCTAGGCCGCTAATTGTTATTGAATATTATGATGATTATTGTTATGTATGACTATTGATGATGAACCCACTAATTAAAATGATTATTGTGAATGATTTAAACTATGATTTGAAATGAATACAACGATAATTATGAAATAATTCGGATTGATGAATTGTACTGTTAAGGATATCTAGAAGAACTCTAGGATATACCCATTTGGAAATTGATGATGAACTATTAAGGATATCTAGAAGAAATCTATGATATATCCCTTTTGATGTTGGTTTCTAATACTATCTAGAAGACCTCTAAGATAGATTAGAAATAGGCCTTGCGGGTATGATGCCTGGTGGCTAGGGTTAAAACGTACGTACGGGATCCAAGAACCAAACTTGAGTACCTACTCGTTTGGGGGTACCACCCAACCCAACAGTGAACACTACGCTGTCGGTTTTTGGTTGACCTTAAGCGAAGGTAAGTTTAAGATTTGAAAACACTTTTAAAAAATATATCTTAAACTAGGCCTAGCTTAAGGATTAGAATATCTTGAACTAGAATTAGTTTAAGAATTGAATTGGCCTTAGACTAAGAATAGTTTAAGGATATTATTGAATGAGGATGTTGAATGTTGAATATGAATATTGAATGACGAATGTTGAATATTGATTATTGTATATTTGAACTGAATACTTTGTGCATGATATCAAATGATTTGATTATGAATTTGGGTTCAATTTATATGGATGTTCGACGCATTAGATATGCTTACTCAACTTCACCGCTGAGCGTGTAGTATGTTTTATTTGCTACACGCAGGTTAATAGAAAGAATGATGTGACATGATTCTGGAGGCAGACGAAGGCGAGATTGTCGGAATTGATGTGATGGTTTTGAACATAAACAAATTATGTTTGTAATTATGATTTGTTAAGCTTCCGCAATATTGAAAACTCCGCACTGTATATGTTACGAAAAATATTATCGTGATAAATAAAAGTGTTTGAAAAGTTTTAAATTTTACGATTACCAAGTTAATACTTTAGTCCGAAAGGGGCTGCAGACCTGGACGGATTAGGGTGTTACAAGGCGCGCCACCTCGAGGAGGAAAGCGAGCACGCGATCGAGGCCTTTCAGACCTCCCCCGCGTTCGAGGAGGCGGCCCTCTCCCGCATGGACAATCTCTTGAAGATCTGGGCTCAAACTCCTGATGGCAAGCGTCTTCTCATTAAAGAGGGGCAGGCCAACTACTCTTTGGGCTTGCACCGGGCTCAAGAAGTCTTTCTAGAGCAGATCAGAGATGGCAAGGAACTCCCGAAGCCGTGCGAGAACCCTAAGGAGTTTGACTCCTCTATTTACTACTCCGAGGATGAGGACGCCGCTGGAGGGGGTGAGGACACCGCCGGTATCTGAGCGCGGCTGGGCCCATTGCTGAACTCCTCCCTTCTTCTTTTTCAATGTAATGTTTTCGTGTTTGAACGATGTGTTTTTGTGATGCCTTCGTTGTTTCGCTTTGATCCTTAAATGCTTATTCCCGAGTGAATGTTGGGGAATGAATGTCGGTTTTGCCGAAGTGTTTGGGCTCGCCTTAGCGAAGCCGTGCTCGGGCTCATATCAGCGAGGACGTGTTCGAGACCTTCATTCAGGAAAAACATCCAGGTTTGGTCTGCGCTCGGCCTTCCTGCCGAGAAGGAACGCCGAGCGTGAGTGTTTGAGACCTTCATCCGGGAAAAACATCCGGGTATGGTCTGCGCTCGGCCTTCCTTCCGAAAAGGAGCGCCAGGCGCGAGTGTTTGAGACCTTCATCCGGGAAAAACATCCGGGTATGGTCTGCGTTCGGCCTTCCTTCCGAGGAGGAGCGCCGAGCGCGAGTGTTTGAGACCTTCATCCGGGAAAAATATGTGGGTATGGTCTGCGCTCGGCCTTCCTTCCGAGAAGGAGCGCCGGGCGCGAGTGTTTGAGACCTTCATCCGGGAAAAACATCCGTTTATGGTCTGCGCTCGGCCTTCCTTCCAAGGAGGAGCGCCGGGCGCGAGTGTTTGAGACCTTCATCCGGGAAAAACATCCGGGTACGGTCTACGCTCGGCCTTCCTTCCGAGGAGGAGCACCGAGCGCGAGTTTTTGAGACCTTCATCCGGGAAAAATATCCGGGTATGGTTTGCGCTCGGCCTTCCTTCCGAGGAGGAGCGCCGAGTGCGAGTGTTTGACCTTCCTCCGGGAAACACATCTGAGTATGGTCTGTGCTCGGCCTTCCTTCCGAGGAGGAGCGCCGAGCGCGAATGACCTTCATCCGGGAAAAACTTCCAGGAATGGTCTCAGCAGCACCCAATCTAGGGGGCGGCTCACCGTCCTTTCCCAATCTCCTTCGATGAATCCACGCCCCGTCATGGTAGCTCTTCACTTTCCTTCGATAATTCTCTGCCCGTATGAAGGCCGCTTCTCGTCTTTCATGCACGAGGTGGAGCTCGCCTGCCAGGACTTCCTCATTGCGCTCGGGGTTGCGATGGAGATCTCTGTGGGTTCCCTTGCCTCGAATTTGTAGCATAGGGCGAAGGGAGTTTCCCTGGTTTCCCTTCGGGGCGTGGTCCGGTAGGTCCATAGGATGTAGGGCAACTCTTCTGCCGACTCCCCTCCGCAAGCTTCTAAATTCAACTTCAGCCCGTCGACTATCGTTCGGTTGGCGTTCTCGACCTGCCCGTTCGTCTGTGGGTACCCAACCGACGCATAGCTGTGCTTGATCCCCCAACTTTCAAGGAAGTCGTTGAAGGTCTTGGACTCGAATTGTGTCCCATTGTCTGTGATTATATGCTCGGGTACGCCGAAGCAGCAGATGACTTGCTTTGCGAGAAACTTCTGGCATTGAGCTCCGATGATGCTCGCCAATGGGGCTACCTCCACCCACTTGGTGAAGTAGTCGATGGCTACAATGACGTACCTTACGTTCCCGGTACCTCTAGGAAGCGCACTCTCGCCCAATGTGCCTCTTCTCGGGGTTCTTTTCTTGCGTTGCCACTGCGACCGGTTCGGTCGGCTTCCTCCACGTTCTTCCTTCCGGCGGACCCTGGGAAAAGGCTGCCCCATCGTCTCGCGGAGCCGGCCCTCGGGCGATAAGTCGATGCATCTTCTTCTGAAGAGTGAAGCATTCCTTAGTGTTATGAGTGTTGTTGCGATGATACTCGCAGTACTTGACGCTGCTGGACACCGCGTAAGCCTCTATTTGAGGGAGCGGGGAGGGGGCAAGCTCTCGATCCGTCCCCACGAGTGTGCCCACGGAGTACACACCAGCCGAGGGCGTCCTCGGGCCCGCGGTGTAGTCTTTCTTCTTCCTCCTCTTCTTCGCTATCTCCCCCGAATCTGCGGGGGCTCGCTTGGCCGACGTGGCCTCGTAGTCGGGGGCATCATCGAACTCTTCCGAGGCCAAGAACTTAGCGCGTGCCAAGGTCTCTTGGTACGTGGGGGGAGGGTTCTTGCGGAGCTCCTTCCTCACTTCTCCGCGGGGAAGGGCTGCTTGGAACATGGCCACCAAGGCTTGGTCGTCCGCCCCGTGGACTTCTCCTTTGCGGATGCAGATGTTGAGCAGGTGGGAGTAGGGCAGCCTTTGCCTCTTGTTGGCCGCAAAGTGCGTTAGGAACTTCTCCGCTAGCGTATCCCAATCGTCAATGGTTTCCTTTTGGGATCCGGTTGAACCAATCATACGCGGAGCCCTCCAACGTCGCGAGAAAGCTTCGGCACTTGACCTCGTCCGGGGCTGCCACCGCTTGCATGGAAGCATAGAACTTAGACAAATGATCTTGGGGGTCCGTCGTTCCATTGTAGGCCTTGATCTGCCACGGCCGAAAGTTTGCCAGCAGCGGAATCGACATAACCCTCGGAGTGAACAAAGTCACCGTTCGCAAGATGGGCTGGCTATAGGGAGCCCTAGTCTCCACCCGGCGCTTGAGCTCAGCAATCTCGCGCGCGAGCCGGGATACCCCTTGGTCAGAGGCCTTTGTCCTCATAGTTCCCGTCGAGCTATTGCGACGCTAGGTCCACTCGCCTTGCCTCTCTCTGCTCCGCTCGGGCCTCGCCGAGCAGGCGTCTGACGTCGCGGACTCCTCAGCATGCTTCCTCCTGCCTTCGGATATTTGTAGGCGGAGATCGCCCGGGCGTCCTTCCGGTCCACGGTTGAGCCTGCCGAAGGCCGACACCCGAGTCTCTTCACCTCCCAAGCGTCTGAAGGCCGACACTCGCCACTCGCTGGACTCATCGTCTTCTCCTTCGGGGACATCTTCCACCAACACCTCCTCGATCACCGGGGCCTTGCCGGGCCTCCTTCTGCTCCTCCAGGTCTTCTTCCCCTTGTGTTGGGAAGTGGCAGCGTGTTCGGCATAGGGACCGGGCGGAGCTTTGCTAGCTCTGGCGCTAGGCACGTTCCCACCCAGGGCAGAAAGTGCCGCAACGGTTGCCTGGAGCTGCTCCGTGGTCACCCCCAAGCCGAACAGTGCCTCGACCGCGTCCGGAGTCGAAGTGATACCACCCGTGCCATTGCTGCTGCTCTGCGTGTTCTCCTCGCCACCGACGTGGCTGGTGGTGGGGACGTTGCTCCTTGTCTGCACCATTCTCGCTTTCGGGAGTTAACCTACGAGTATGTTCTTCTCCTCTCAATGAAAGCACCAATTTGATGGCTATAAACCACCGAGTATATCAGATAATATGAGTTTTAGAGAGAGAGAATGCAAAGTAGGAGAATATTGACTTCAAAATTCGGATCCATTACAATGAGGGGTGCCACCCCTTTTATAGGGGGTACAATACATTAAGTCAAAGCCCTCTGATCGAGGCTCGTCGTTTAGCGGACGTCACCTATCCCTTGGTCTTGTCCCTTTCATCCTATCGCTTTCATCAAGTCTTTGTCGCACGTCGTTTTCTTCACGTCATTGTCGCGGGGGTCGGGCTCGGCTTGGTTGGCCGAGCCGAGCAAGAGGGACGAGCGGAGCTCGTGGGCCGAGCAGGAGGGATGAGCGGAGCTCGTGGGCCGAGCAGGAGAGACGTCCAAGCTTAATACTTAGGAAATTTATGCTGATGTCAGCCTTAGGCTGACATGGGGTTATTCCCCATCAAAACAGAATCCTAGTTTTTGAGGCTTGCTAGGGTCATATTCTAGAGTTGTCTCTGCCGAAGACAATTAAGGGTCATACTCGCGTCAGGTTGTTATTTGTTGTTTGTGTGAGCAAACAAACAAATAACATCTCACAAACAAATATTTTCGGATCGGGATCGGCACAACAAAAAATGAATGATGAACCGATATGTTCAGAATTATATCGGTACGGGTTAAAACTTGTTTCATAAATTAATAATCTACTAATTTTAGTAATTATTTCATAAAATAAATAAAGAATAATAACTCTGGGGCGACTGATGTTAATGGGCCAATAACTAGGGTTGGGAACTTGGATTTTTTTTTAATCTGATATGGGTAATGTAAATAGGCTAGGCTAATGTTAATGAGATATTGGCCAAATTAATAAATAATGGTCCAGTAACTTTGTTTTGAACATGTCCACTAACTTAGTTTCTAGAAAATATAAATAGTGCATTATTTGTATCGGACCGGGCCGCCTGCGAACTCAAATATCAAAGTCCATACCCGGCCCTCATTATTTACGGGTGCATGTAAATTACGGGCCGGGCCAACCCGCACGTAATTACTCTAGCCCAGACCCATACTTTTTCGGGCGGGCTTTTACGGGGCGGGCGGTTGAAATAACTTATAAAGTATAATTATAATAACAATAATAATAATAGATGAAAAACGTATCATTTTTGGAGTCATTATTTGGGAGTAGAAAAAAATGGAAGAAAATGAGAATAGTTGGAAAACCTGAAAGAAACGGGAAAAAATTGAAAGAAATAGGAATGAACTAAGAAAGAAACTGGAAAAAACTTACAATTTATGGACTTCTACTTCAATTTTCAAGGTCTCTTACTCGCTTTGTTCCAAAATGACTATCACTATTTGATTTTTTATTCAAAATGTATAATATTTGATCACAAATTATTAGAAAAGTGTATTTAGCTATAATATAAATTTAGTAAAATTATGTTTATTTTGAATTATAATTTTGATAAATCAAATTTTTATAACATTTAATTATTTAAAATTACATTTAGTTTGTTGTCAAAGTGTTACACAAATTGAAAAAAAAATGAAACTGTAATAATCTTTTAAAGACATGAGTACTACATATGAAATTAAAATACCCGCCCCATGTTCAATAATTTGCATGCCAAATACATAAATCAGAGTACCGAAAATAGACGCATCGAGGCCGCTTTAAGATGCATTTCATTCGCTTGATCTGAAAACTTTTCTATACTTTGTGCAAATCGTTTTGGAAATAAAGATTTTGTGCAAATGGCATTACTTAGTGCTTCTTTGGTATACCTTGGGACTTGGATGCATATCATTTATGTGGACCTTCTCACATAAAAAAAAAATTGTTTGTTTATTTAAAAAAACAAATATTTATTTAAATTATAAAGAAATACTTATTTTGCTAATATGTAGGTCCATGGTCGACCTTAAGTCCACCATAGAATTTGCCCTTTCGGTTTAGTGTCTGAGCTCATTATCATGAAAAACTCAAATAAATCCACTGGGATCATTTACATATGTCTTCAAATAAATCTTTAGTCCTTTTATTTATGTATCGAGTAATGCTAGACTCAAAAGCAAATTGGATACAAACTATACAAACTCTCCATTTTTGCACTTTCTCAAGTGAATAAAATGATTTTAAATAATATAAAATAATAATTTAAATACATAAATAGTAATTTTGTGTAGTTTGTGTTCAAATTATTTGTAACTCTAGCATTACTCTTATGTATCAGATGTTTTAATTTAAATTTTAAACAAATAATTAAACCTCTTCGTAAATTTGAACATACACAGTTACACACGCACACAAATTTATGGCTATAATTTAGATCTTTGGTTAGATAATGATGGAAGCCGCTTTTTCGGGGCGCCGACCCGATGAAATCGGTACCGGGTCGGCACCGCACCGAATAGCGAAATCCGGAAATTAAATAAATAAATAAAGCGGAGAGAAAGTATTTATACGTGGAAACCCAAATCGGGAGAAAACCACGGGCCTTTTTAGGCGGTGCCATGCTAAAGGGGAGGAACTTTTATTAATCTCGGAAGAATTTACATATACATCACTGTAGGAGCTTGGAGCCATTAATGGAGCTCCAAGCTAAGAGAAGGAGAAGAATGAAGAATAATAGTAGAACTAGCAGGAAATTGGCCTCCTTGAGTATGTAGCCTCGTAGGAGAATCATTGGTCTCTCCCCTTCCCCTCTTCGTAGTATTGTATTTAAAGGGGAGTATATGCATGCATCCCAACAATGCCATGAGGTGGTCATGTCACCTCCATGTGCATATGTTTAGTATATGGGCTCCACTAAATATTTTTACATCATTTCAAATATATTCTTCTGTCCATATATCTCTGGTTTTGTCTTGAATAATTTATCTGATTTATATCTTGGGCCAGATAAAATTGGGCTTTCTTGTATTGTTCAAATAATATTGGATTAGGAAAAATCCCTAATCCATCACATGCTCCCTAGTTTTGAGTCTGTCTCGAGGAACGAGACAGATTCAAAACTATATAACTCGGTGGGTTGCCTCATGGGATAAAACTTTTCTTGGAACCTCGGTAAGAGGACCTTCTTTTTTTGGAGGGTCTCGTTACCTCGTGGGTAAGGATTTAACTTAGTGTATCTCGAAAGAGGACTTTTCTCGGGGATTTGGTGCCTCTTGGAAGAGGACTTTTCTCAGGGATTTGTCTCTTTAGAGGAGGACCTTCTCGGGACTTTGTGCCTCTTTAGAAAAGGACTTTCTCGGGACTGTGTCTCTTTAGAAGAGGACCTTCTCGGGACTTTGTGCCTCTTTGGAAGAGGACTTTCTCGGGACTTTCTGCCTCTTTAGAAGAGGACTTTCTCGGGACTTTGTGCCTCTTTAGAAGAGGACCTTCTCGGGACTTTGTGTCTCTTTGGAAGAGAACTTTCTTGGGACTTTGTGCATCTTTGGAAGAGGACTTTCTCGGGACTTTGTGCCTCATGGAAGAGGACTTTTCTTTCTTTTTAGTTCCTCGGGAAGAGGACTTTTCTCGGGGATTTGGGCCTCTTAGATGAGGACTTTCTTGGGACTTGGTGCCTCTTCGGAATAGGATTTGGTGCCTCGGGGAAGAGGACTTTTCTCGGAGCTTGGTACCCCTTAGAAGAGGACTTTTCTCGAGGATTCGTTGCCTCTGGGAAGAGGGCTTTTCTCGGGGATTCGTTGTCTCTGGGAAGAGGGCTTTTCTCGGGGCTCTTTTTTCAATATTCTTTGGGAGTCTCTAAACCCTCACCTGATATCTATCTGACGGTGGTTGGGCGCTCCGCTCTTAGAATTATAGACAATCTCCGTCCACCTTTCTCTTCGTCCCTATCCCTCCAATTGAGGGGGGGCCTACTCTAATCTCTTTATAGGATTCTTTCCTTTTGGGTAGCTTGTTCTTAATGGGCCGGGCTTCAGCCCATCCTTAAGCCCCAATCCTTTTCCTTATCCTATCTTTCCTCAACCTCGGTACGGGAGTCTATTACTATCTCCAGTAATTCGATCACTTAACTCGATCTAATTACTGACCTCTGCTTTATATTCTCCAGTAATCCGATCACCTTACTTGATCTAATTACTGACCTCTGCCTTCTATTCTTTTACATTATTACTTTTATCAACTTATACAACTCGGAACGGACCACCTGAGGCTTGATCCGTCCATTTGAGAGACCCATGAAGTTGGAGCGGTCCACTGGAGGCCAAATCCGTCCATGCGAAGGACCTATGAAGATGGAGCGGTCCACTGGAGGCCAAATCTGTCCATGTGAAGGACCTATGAAGATGGAGCGGTCCACTGGAGGCCAAATC